AGTCAGCTGAAGACTCACCTAGCCTGACAGATGTCATCCTTTATTCTGGGCAGCCACTAACAATGAAATTAAATTCAATGCAGAGAAGTGTAAGTGCTTTACACAGGGATTTTAAAAAATATCCAGGAAGGCACTGTTGCTTGAATGAAAAGAAAACACTGCGCATGAAATATGACATGACATCTGGAAGGGTTCAGAACAACATTGCAGCTGTTGTAGGATACAGATTAAAGCAATCAAAACTGAGGGTGCAAAGAGATTGAATTGTAAGAAATGACTGCGTAGATTGTGGGTATTCTCACTGGCCAAGTGAAATAAAGACAGATATTCTTGCTGATTTTAGAATTTTGTGGGAAGCTAGGCAAGAGGTTGCTGGGCCCCTTGCTGAGACATTTCTATCATCGATAGCCATGGATGAAGTGCTGGAAGACTGGAGATTGGCTAATGAGGTGTCATGATTTAAAAAAGGCTGCAAGGAAAAGCCAGGGAACTATAGACCAGTGAGCCTTACATCAGTGGTGGGTAAGTTGGAGACGATTCTGTGGGACAGCATTTACATGCATTTTGAAAGGCAAGGACTGGTTAGGGATCGTCAACATGACTTTGTGCATGGGGAATGGGGTCTCACTAATTTGAATTTTTTGAAGAGGTGACAAAGAAGATTGAAGGAGGAAGAGCGGTAGATGTTGTCTACATGGACTTCAGCAAAGCATTCACCAAGGTTCCACATGGTAGACCCATTAGTAAAGTTAAATCACATGGGATCCGGGGGAGTTAGCCAATTGGCTAAAATGACTTGAAGGTAGGAAACAGAGGGTGGTGGTGCAGCGTTGTGTTTTGGACTGGAGGCTTGTGACCAGCAGTGTGCCACAAGGTTCAGTACTGTTTTACTTCATGCATATAAATGACTTGGATGTGAATGTAGGAGATATGGTTAGTAAGTTTGCAAGATGACACCAAAATAGGTGGTGTCGCAGATGGCAAAGAAGATTATCTCAGAGTACAATGGGACCTTAATCAAATGGGCCAAAGGGCTTAGGAGTGGCAGATGGAATTTTATTTAGATAAATGTGAAGCGTTGCATTTTGAGAAGGCAAGTCAGGACAGGACTTACACAGTTAATGTAAGGTCCTGGGGCATGTTGCCAAACAAAGAGACCTAGGGGTGCAGATTCATAGTTCCTTGAAAGTGGAGTCGCAGATACAGGGTGGTGAAGACAATGTTTGGCGTGCTTGTCTTCATTCATCATTAAATTGAGTATAGGGGTTGGGATATCATGTTGCAGTTGCATAGGACATTGGTGAGACCACTTTTGGGACACTGCATACAATTCTGGTTGCCCTCCCAAGGAAGGATGTTGTTAAACTTGAGAGGGCATAGAAAAGATTTACAAGGATGTTGTTGGGACTGAAGTATTTGAGATATAGGGACAGCTGAATAGGCTAGGGCTTTTATCTCTGTAGCATAGGAGACTGAGGGGTGACCTTATAGAGGTTTATAAAATCAAGTGCATGTATAGGGTGAATAGCCAAGGTCTTTTTCCAAGGGTGTGGGAGTCCAACACTACAGGACATAAGATTTAAGGTGAGAGGGGAAAGATTTAAAAAGGACCTAAGAGGTATCTTTTTGACACAGAGGGTGGTGTGTGTCTGGAGCGACCTGCCAGAGGAAGTGGTGGAGGCTGGTACAATTACAACATTTAAAAGGCATCTGGATGGGTACATGAATAGAGGGATATGGGCCAAATGCTGGCAAATGGGGCTAGGCCAGATTGGGATATATGGTCAGATGAGTTGGATTGAAGGGTCTGTTTCTGTGCTGTATGACTTTGTGCCTATGTCTCTTCAGTTCTAAACAGACAGAAAATGTCAACTTTGACAAAGAATTTCACCTTGTTCACACATTAGAATATGGAGGACATGTCTGTGCCTGGGTATTAAATTCAAAAATAATCAGAAACACTGGCTCCATTATTTAAGGAGAGCATGTAAGAGTATGGGCAGCAGAGAACAGAGGAAAGCCAATGATTACCACGGATAGGGAAAGCACTGAATGTAATGGAACGTTATCATCAAATTTTTATTCCCTTTCCCACATGGCAGCCAGCTAGATTGAGAGATTGCTTGACTTCCAGGTAGGAAAGCCAACAACAGAATGTCACAACCAGGGAGACTGAGACGAAGAGAAAGATTGTGGGTCAAGGGAGAGGGTTGGGCAAGGTCAACTGGTTTCAAGGCAGGAGATGTGGGATCATGGGCTGGAGAAAACAGACAGGTCAATGGAGCAAACAGGAGTCCCCACGATTTGAAGAAGGTTTTCTTGAGGGTTTGGGGGGGACACACCTGCTCCTGGAAAAACTCAAGCAGATCAAGCATACCTGGGGAGAGTGAAACAGGGTGATGAAATGGACTGACCAGTTCTGACAATATGTTTACAATGTTTCTTTCTCCATAGATGCTGCCAGGCATGCTGATTATTTCCAGCACTTTTTATTACAGACAACCAGCATCACCAATAACTTCGCTTTTGCACGTACTAGTCAGATTTTGGTCTATCTTCATCCCACTGTTACATGTACAGTTAAGGATGATAATTAAATAACTCATGTAGTATTTCAAATGAATATTACTTTTTCTCAAGTACTTGTGAAAGGTGTTGGTTTGACTACAGCCAAGCTTCACAGTTCTGGTTGACAATTGAAATGGGAGGCAATCTGATCTTCCTGCAGTTTCTATCCCCAGCAGAATCACTGTGCTGAATAAGTAACAAGAGACCCAAGATCAAGACAATCAAGACTGACGAGGCAAAATTAGAAGTTTACCTCATACAGAGGAAACAAAGCCTTGAATGCCTTAAGCTAATACGGCGGATGTGAAAAATACATTAGAAAGTCAATTTGATCTTCGAAAAGGAAGTCTATAAAAGGAAATAGAGAACAGCAAGGAAGTGGAACTGAAGGAGACAACGCCAGTTGGTGATTTAGAAATAGTCAGGTGGACTGAAAGGTGTCCTTTTGTATTGCAAGCATCAGGATTTTATAATGGTAATCACTAGAGGATAAACATGAAAGTTCAGATGGCTTTCTCTCTTTAGGGCCACTTAATCATCAACAAACACTGCTGAGCTCCTGCTATTCTTTAACAAAATAACCAGCCAAGTCATTTTAAAGCTCTAAGGAAATAGCAGGGAAGTAGGTCCAATTAAGGAATTATTTCAAAATTCAGCAACAATGGGTGAAATAGCCCCCTTCTGCACTGTAGCAAATGGAGTTAAAACAGCTATTTTGTTTTTAACCAACAACTTTGACATTTTATTTAACTTTGGAAATGCTGCCCAGAATCTTGCAGTCTCTGTCCCCAATGGATCAATACGCCAATCCATGGAGCATGGTAACTTTTGTATCTTGTTCTGACTGAAAATATAATTACAATTGAAATTTTGGCCACCCTCAACACATGTTTCATTAGGGAAAACAGTGCTGTTGGTAACTTCTCTTTCAAAACATGCTTCCTTAAATATATAAACTTTGGTGTGATAGTAGCCCCGACGTTATTAAAATATTTTTGAATCAAGTAAAATAAAGCTGCAAATACCAAAAATTTTAAAAAGTCAAAAATTGTTGGGAATACAGAGATGATTTTTTTCACGTATGTACAGAGAATTGCAAGTTAAAAATTTGAATTAGGAGCCACTTTCAGAATTGAAAGCTGAAAGAAATACTACCCTTGTGGTAAATAAAAGGAAGAAGGAAAAAAATTTCCAGATGCAGAGCGGAAATTCATGTGGTTGAGTGAACTAGATTAGAAAAATAAGAAGAAATTCTGAATAGCAAAGATAATTTAAATGAGGCAGTGGAATTTTTTTTAAAAAACTAAAAAGAATGGGCAAATAACAATGGTAAAGAACAACAAAATGTGGGTCATTCACCCAGTCTACAAGATCCAAATATCTGCGTTGGTGCTGGAAATTTAATACACATGTTAAGTGTGGGTAGGAGCCCTTTCCTCCTGAATTGTTTCTCAACCGTTCTTCCATCTAACAGTTCCTGCTCATCCTCCCAGGGAAAAATACAATTCCAACACCACATGTACATCTACTATGTAAGGGGATTAGCATCTGGTGCGTATTAGACCTCTGACACACTCTTCAGACCCTCATGCCCTCACACACAGTTTGTAAATGTTATAATTCAAACTTATTCTGGACATTAAGAACATAACATTCTTGTCACTTCAACTAAATACAGTTTTAAGACCAGCAATGCTCTTTGAAAGTTAAAACATTGACTTGAATTTCACCCAGTGACCAGTGAGTAAAATGACACAAGGCAGTCAAACGCCATTTGGATGATATGACTGTACAAACTGAATTCTGCTGTATTTCTGAGAATGTCAGCAGAAATATGCATGGAGTGCAATAGTAAACAAGGGTTGGAATAATGGACCTCCACAAAGTTCCTCAGCTTGACACCTTGTCAAAAAAAAAAGGTGCAGCTTCAGAAACAAGACAGTTGAATGGGGAACATCTGGGTCATCATGTTTAAAACTATCAAATGAGGCGAATGATGCAGGACTGATCATACGTCTTGCCCTGGCCATCACTATTCATGGCAGCTACTTGTCACAATTTTTAAACAATTTGCCTTATGAGAAGCTATTCATCCACCTTTGACAAGAACCGGCGAATAAGCATTTCAGCCAATACAAAGACAGTGAAAGAACTTTCTGAAAGGAAAGGAAACATTTCAAACTTATTAAAATGTCATGATATAATAAAATTTGCACAACAAAATAGTAAAAGCTGTTTTGAGATTTGAAATAAGACAGAACTGATTTGGTCACAGCATGAACATTTCTGATATTCAGCTGTTTTTCTTTATGCAATACGAAGAAAGAACACAAGATGAAGAAGGTAACTATTATAAAGGGATGAGAAAATGAATGGCAGCTTAACAGTATTGATTGACATTGACTGAAATATGATTATATACATGGACTTACCATGGTCTTTACTATCTGCTGTTGCAACATGGTTACCATTTTCCAAATGCCCTTCACCATCTGAATTTGGCTTATCGGCAGATAATTTCTGCAAAAGTGAATCAGAGACGATCAATTTTCTACAGCTGCTAACTCAAAAAACAACTCTACTGATTTCCTCCAAATGAAATCTTTGGGAATGATTTCTTCTTGTGCCTATGCACAGCATAGCATGGGAGGAATTTTCCCGGTTGGTATTTCTAGTAAAATTTCTGTGGATTCTTTAAAATCACTGCAGAAATAGGACTCCTGAGTACTCATCAGAAAATGGCAAATACCTCATTGCACTGGGCCACAGAGCTTTGAAGATTTATGAGTTGACCTTGTCAGGAACACAACTTTCATTCTAGCCTTAGATGGCTTTTGGGAAGGGGAGGTGGGGGAAACAGTGCAAGGGACAGGGTTGAGGACAGAATCTCTTTGCACCAGAAGTTCCCATTTCTCCAACTCAATCAGCTTAGGGCTAAAGGCAATGAGACACAGAATAGACGGCTGTGGATGGGGAATGGACAACTGTGGATGGGGAATGGCAGTGGGAGGGTAGTCAAAAAGAGTAAGGGCCCAGGCGAGTGGAGGTTTTCAAAAAGAAAGTTGAAGATTTATTTTAGAAGTTCAGACTGACCCGTCTCCTCTTTGAACGAAACTCAGAGGGACAATTTTCTCTCTCCCCATTGGCAAATAGAAGCTGAATTTACCAGTGGCTCACGCAGGAACAGAATGGAGGTGTTAAAGGAATTTCCTGATTGTCTCGGAATCCCGTGAAAATTAGATCCTTTCCCACAACATAAGTTACCACCTTACTTCCTTTTCAAAAATAGTTTCTCCTCTTCCACATCAGAATCCAGGCCTAGTTCCCCAGGTGTTTCCACACCCAAAATTGATGCGGCAGGTATGCATGGTTCTGCTCAGCTTTCTGGTTCCAGTGCCCCACTGGTTGCATTCCAAAGGAGAGGGCATGAGAGTCCTGGTCTGGAATTCTACATCCTTGTCCATATTCCATTTCACACCACTAACATAAAAACACTAACATTCACAAGCAAACACACGGGGGAAGGCCAGGATCTGGTATTGTATATTCCAGTATAATAAAGCTATCTGCTCCTCTCCAGCAGGAGTTCAAATGAGGATGACTTGATTATTAGCCTCCTTTGCAGCTCTCTGCCTGTCTACTTCTACGCCAGGACAATTTGTACTAAGAATATAATGTGCATGACATGGAGCTGGTGTGTTAAGAGTTTATTGATACACTATTATACGATATATCATGCTGGCAGATTCTGAATTCACATAGCAACCTTTATAACATACTATGACTTTCTTTCTCAGGTGGATTGGCTATGCTAAATTGCCCATCGTGTCAAGGGTGGGAAATACAGGGATGGTGTATGGCGTGGTTCTGGGTGGGATGCTCCTCAGAGGGTTGGTGAGGACTTGATGGGCCAAATGACCTGCTTCCACACTATAAGGATTCTATGATTCTAAGATTACACTTAACATAATTCGACCTGCATTTGTCTTCCTGTGGTAGGATCCAATGCTAAACCCAATGTTTTATTTTCAACATGGACCCATTTAGTTTCTACCAGAGATATTAGATAAGGATAAGAATTAGAAACTCCTCTAATCTTATTCTCTATTTGAAAGCTAGATGCATGGAAGCCAATTTAGCATTCACATCACCTTCCAGTCAAATCTACCAATTTAGCTTAGACTAGAGGTATTTTGAGCTGGATTTTCCTATATAGTGCCATGCAGTACATTTATCTATTAAGCTATGGAGAAATTCCCAATGGGGGTATGCTGATGAAACCACAGTTTTCCATTCAGGTTTACATGAGACTGTCCCTTTTGATAAATCTGCTGAAATCAGCAGCTGAACTCACTGTGTGAAGAAATTACAGGAATCACAAGTACAGTTCACATTATCCACTGGAGACATGGATAAGAAATAACGTGTTGCTTTTAATGCACACCTGACAGAACCAAAACAATACATACAATTTAAAGAAATTACACATGTGTAAAATAAAGAGCAGGAAAGGTCCCACATCTATCAAGCTTCCATGATCCAGACATACTGCAGCCACACACGAAACCACTGACTCACCCCTCTAATCACAATCTCCTGCGAGAGACAACAGAAAAGATAAAGTCAAAAGGTCAATTTAGGAAAACACTGGGATATTTCTTTGTGACTCCCTTAGGCAAAATTCCAGGATACCGCTGTAACCTATAAATCCTTCTAATCCCAGCTAACTCATGACATGCTCTTTATAATTGGAAGTGCCCTCCTCTTCAAAGAGCTCGTCCAGATCCCTTCTGAATGGTATTTACCATACACAATTCACCTGATTTAAATCAATGAAGTGAAATTCTGGTAAGTAAAGGAAACTAGTTGAAGATCCTCCCAACCAGGTTGACACCTCTGGGTTTGCCCAGGCACTATTTAATTTCTAGATGATAGAAACAAAAATTTATTCCAGCAATAACCGTCTCAACATGAAGCCCTGTGGGATGGAACTGATGACTATTCTTATATCAACCTACTAACAGTGAAATCTCTCCGTTGATCTATCCACAACAGTATTAGACACCCTTTCCAACTGCTATAAATGCAACATTTTATTGAAGGCTTCTGGAAAGCAGGATATTGTGCCATCACACGTGTCAAGATTATTATCACCCTTATTTTATTGCACAGTATTTAAAGTACAGGCACTTTAGCCCAACAGATACATGTCTGTGTTTCATTCTGCACATAAGCTTCTGCTCACCCTTCTTTATTTAACCCCATTAATATTCTCCCTGATCTATCATTTTAATTATTTACTGTGCCTAGTTCTGGGCTCCATCAAGCAGAAACATCTTTATGCACACCCTAATAAACCTTTTGACAATCTTAAAGGCCTTTATTGACTCACCCCTCTCTCTCTTTTCTTGAGAAAAGAGCTACACCCTGATCAATCGATCCTCACATATGTGACTTCTCAGCTATGGTATCATTTTCATGAAGCTTTGTTCAGTCTTCTCCAGGAACATGGCCCCATAGTGTCAAGAGTTGCGCAGGCTAGGTGGATTAGCCATGGTAAACGTGGCATAACAGAGATAGGGTGGGGGGGATTGGATCTGGGTGGGAAGCTCTTTGGAAGATCAGTGCACACTCGATGGGCTGAATGGCCTCATTCCGCACTGTAGGGATTCCATAATTCTAAAAATCTATGACCTTTCTAGTGATCAGAACTTCTCAGTACTACAAGTGTTCTCTAAGGATCCATACAAGATAAACATAGAGTCATAGAAGTTTACAGCACAGAAAAAGTTCCGTTGGCCCATTGAGTTTACCGTAGTCAAAACCAACCACTTAACTACTCTAATCCCATTTCCTATCACTTAGCCCATAGCTTTGTAAGCCTTGGCAGCGCAAGTGTATACCTAAGTACTTTTTAAATGTTATGAGGGTTTCTGCCTCTACCATCCTTATAGGCAGTGAGTTCCATATACGCACCACCTGGTGGGTGAAAAAATCTTTTGTCACATCCCATCTAAACCTCCTGCCCCTTACTGTAAATCTATGCCCCATGTCATTGATGCCCCCAACAAAAGGGAAATAGTTCATTCTTGTCTACCCTATTCATGCCCCTCATTATTTTATACATCTCAATCATGACCCCTCACAGACTCTGAAGGAAAACAACCAAGATGGGTCCAGACCCGAAACATCAGCTTTCCTGCTCCTCTGAAGCTGCCTGGCCTGCTGTGTTCATCCAGCTCTACACCTGGTTATCTCAGACTCCAGCATCGGCAGTTCCTACTATCTTCCAGTCTATTCAATTTCTCTTCATTACTAAAACCCGCCAGCCCAGGCAACATCTTGGAAAATCTCCTCTGCACCTTCTCCAGTGCAAACATATCCCTCCTATAACGTGATTCCAGAATCGCATACAACACTAGTTATGGCCTAACCAACATTTTATGCAGTTCCAGCATCATCTCCCCGCTCTTCAACTCAATGCCTTGGCTAATAATGGCATGTATCATATATATCTTCTTACCATAACTTCTACACTTTTCAATGACATTCCTCTTTAAAAAATGAAAATCAGTGCTTCGTCTGCTTTTTAAAAAATAGTCTTATTAACCTTCATTTAGCAATTTGAGTATCTGATTCCAGATTTCTTTTTAAAGAGAAGTCTAATTAGGCTGCAATAACATTGCAAATGCTTTGCTAATGATCTCCAAACTCTCCTAGTGCTTATAAACTGCATCCCTTATAATGCCTCTTAAAACTGCCATAGACATTTCCCAGGAAAAAAAAAATCCTCTTAAATATTACAAGCAAATGAACTTCACACCAATCCAATGGCATTAATCCACAACTCAAAGAACTTTTATGTATAGTAAGTAACGGTTCACAGAATGACTGGGACCTGAATATTCAAGGGTACAAGAAATTTTAGGACTAGAAGTCAGAAAAAGGTCAAGGGATAGTTCTGTTAATTAAGCATGGCATACATTCAATAGAGATTACTTTAGAGTCATACAGCATGGAAACAGACCCTTTGATCCAACTCATCCATGCTGACCAAATTTCCCAAAACAAACTAGTTCCACTTGCCTGCATTTTGTCCATATCCCTCTAAATCTTTCCTATTTATGTACCTGTCCAAATGTCTTTTGAATATTCTAAGTGTACCTGCACCAACCACTTTGGCAGCTTATTCCACATACAAACCACCTTCTGTGTGAAAGAGTTGCCCCTCAGGTCCCTTTTAAAAAACTTTCTCCTCTCACCTTAAAAATATGTGCCCCTTAGTTTTGAACTTCCTCACCCCAGGGAAAAGACCTTTGCTATGCCCCTAATGATTTTGTAAACCTCTTTAAAAGGTCACCCTCAACCTCCACACTCCAGTGGAAAAAAGAAATCGCAGCCTATTCAGCCCATCCTTATAACTCAAACCTTCCAGTCCTGGCAACATCACAGTAAATCTTTTCTGAATCCTCTCCAATTTAACAATATCCTTCCAAAACTGGGGCAACCAGAACTGGCCACAGTACTCCAAAAACGGCCTCATCAACCACCTCAACATGACACCCCAAATCCTATACTCAAAGGTCTGAGCAATGAAGGCAAGTGTGCTAAACGCCTTCTTAACCAACCTGTCTACCTGCGACACAACTTTCAAACCAAAAAATAGCAAAGGTAAGAACTCAGTCATGGGAGTGGTTTGCAGACTCTATTAGTAGCCACACTGCAGAATAGAGTACACAGGAAGAAATAATGGGAACTTGTGAGAAAGGTACTGCAATACCTTTGAGTGGGTCACAATTTCAAGGTGAGAGGGGAAAAATTTAAGGGAGATATGCATGGAAAGTTCTTTATGCAGAGGGTGGAGGGTGTCTGGAACGCGTTGCCAGTGGAGGTGGTAGAGGTGGGCACGATAGCATCATTTAAGATGTATCTAGACAGATACATGAAAGGGCAGGGAGCAGCAGGCTACAGATCCTTGGAAAGTAGGCAACAGTTTAGATAGAGGATCTGGATCGGCGCAGGCTTGGAGGACCTGTTCCTGTGCTGTAATTTTCTTTGTTCTTTTGTTCTTTGTTCTTTGATTATTCTTCGTATTGATTGGACAAATCACATTGGCAAAGATAGTCTAGATAATGAGTTCAAAGAGCATATTTGGAACGGGTTTCTTAAATCAGTACACTCTCCAGCTAATCAGGGAGCAAATTGTGTGATATCTGGTAATATGCAATGAGACAGGATTAATTAATTGCCCCACAGTGAAGTGCTCTTATGCAGCAGTGATCATAATATAATTGAATTTCACAGTAGTTTAAGAGAGAGAAGAGTGAATCTAAGGCTAGTGTTTTAAAATTGAATAAGGAAAATTACGGGCATGAAGATGGGGCTGGCTAAAATGAACTGTGAACTTAGGTTAAAGGATAGGTCAGTAGAAGTGCATAGGCAGACCTTTATGAAGAAATTTCAACCTACTCAAAAGACACATTCCAGTGAGCAGAAGTACCCTAAGGAAAGGAAGGAACACCCCTGGCTAACTAAAGATTGTATAAAATTGAAAGAAACTGAATATGCTTCTGCAAAACTCAGTGGAAGGTTGAAAAATTGGACAGAATTTAAAGGACAGTGAATATTAACTACAAGGTTAATAAGGGGGAGAAATTAGATCAGAAGAGAAAGCTAGTTAGAAATATAACAAATTTTAAGTGTCTCTGCAGGTACATAAAAGGAAAAGAGATATTATAGTGAATGTTATCTGTTAGACAGTCTGTGAAATAAATAATGGAAATTAAGGATGTGGGAGAAGAACTGAAAGATATTCCAAACCTGTCTTCATTGTAGAGAATACAATATCATCCCAGAAATTTGTGAATCAGTAGGTGAATGGGAGGGACGTTCTACAGAATCTATGGAACTTGAAACAATTATAATCAGCATTGAAAAGATACTGTGAAAATTATCAGAGCTAAAAGCTGACAAGTCCCTAGATCCTGGTGGACTTGACCCTAGACTCATAAATAAAAGTGGCTGCTAAGATAATAGATGCATGTTTTATGCTTTTCTAAAATTCCCTACTGTGGATAGTGGATTGGTGAGCTAATAGGAAACAGAACATAGACATAAAAATGGGTCAGTCAAGTTGGTAAGATGTGCTACAGGGATCAAAATTGGGGCCTCAACTGTTCACAATTTATATCAATGACTTGAAATGAAGGTACTGAATTTACAATCACTAAATCTGCTGATGATACAAAGATAGGCAGTAAAGTAAGTTGCCAAGAGGACAAAAGGAGTCTGGAAAGAGATATATACAGATTAAGTGAGTGGACAAAAGCTTCTCACTTTGACAGGAGGAATACAAAGGCAGCATAATACTGAAACGGAAAGAGATTGCAGAACTCTATGGTACAGAAGGATCAGGGTGTCCAAATAAATGAATTACAAAAAGGTTAGTATGCAGGTGACTAGGAAAGCGAATAGAATGTTGTTGGTTTTTGCAAGGGAATGTAAAATTATGGATATTTCCTGTGGAATAAAGAATATCAGAAATGTGCTCAACTTATCTTTATAGATTTCTCAGTCGAAATGCTTAACACTTCCTTAGGCCAAGTACAATTAAAATACGAGGCTTTTTATATGGAACGTGCACAATTTGTTTTTCTTTTCCATACTTCTCAAAAAAAAACTAAAGTTGAACCAATTCGAATCTATGACTGGAGTGAAGGAGATAAAAAACAGAACACAAAGGGAAAAATATACAAAAGGGAAAGGACTATGTAAATAAACAGAAATAAAGAGCCACAAATTAATGATAATGGACATGACCAAGGTAATGGACAAAAACAAATGTATATACACAGCAGCAACTGAAGAGAGAAAAAAGAAAATAAGTTTTGCTCTCAAATGGCAGCATCATGAAATATCAGCCATTTTATTCACAGACATCTAGATTTCTGCTCAATACATACAAACATTGAAAAGAAAAGCAGAAGTTTGCCATTCAGCCCTCTATTCGATACGTTCATGGTGGATCATCTACCTTAGTACCTTAGCTCCCAATTTTTCCCCCATACCTTTGATTTCTTCAGCTCTAAGAACTAGATCTAACTCCTTCTTGAAAACATTCAATGTTTTGGCATCGATTGCTTTCTGTGGAAGAGAATTCCAAAGGCTCTCTGGCTGAAGAAATTTTTCCTCATCTGAGTCCTAAATGGCATGTCCTGTATCCTTAAGCTGTGACTCCTTGTACTGGACCCTCCAGTCACTAGGAACATTCTTCCTACATTTATGCTGTCTAGTCCTGTTAAAACTCCCCTCTCAATCTTCTAATCTCCAATGAACATAATCCTAATTGATCCAGTCTCTCTTCAGATATCAGTTCTGCCATCCCAGGAATCAGCCTGATAAATCTTTGTTGCATTCCCTCCATTGCCAGAACATCCTTCCTCAGATAAGTAGATCAAAATTGCACACAATATTCCAGGTGTGGTCTCACCCTGTACAATTGCAGCAAGACATCCCTGCTCATGTACTCGAATCCTCTCATTATGAATGCCAAAATGTTATTTGCCTTCTTCACCGTCATCTGCACCAGCATGCTTACCTTCAGCAATTGATGTACAGGACACTCAAGTCTTGTTGCACTTACCCCTTTCCCAATCTATCACCATTCAGATAATAATCTTCCTTCCTATTTTTGCGAACAATGTGGACAACTTCACATTTATCCACATTATACTTCATCAACCATGCGCGTGTCTCTCACTAAACTTGCTCAAATCACACTGACGCATCCTCCTTCACAATTTACCATCACACTCAGCTTTGTGAAGAAAACACCCAGAGAAACGAGGGTTAGAAGTTGAACCGGATTTAAAAATAAGTGTTCTCAGGATAATCAGCAAGGCATCTAGACCAAGATGATGCAATACTCAGGGCAGAAAGTCAGACTTGACAATTGCATCTCAGTATTCCTGTCCCTGATCTACATTCCTAGCTTCTAAGGCTGTGTGTGGAGAGAGAGCTCTGAACTTATCCTTGGAATTTCATACCTAGCCTCAGAAAGGACACAAGTATAACTTCTTTGGTTAACTAGGACTTATTCTTTATTTCTTCAAGAGATGGTCGATCATTTGAATTTTAAATCTCTGAATCAATTCAAAATTAACAAATTAATGGGAATAGACAAGTTAAATATGTACTTTCAAATAGACCCCTTTGCACTCCACCTCTTCCCTCCCCCCAAAGGGTGTATAACCAGTAGCTAGGCCTGGCAAGTGGCATTAGGAAATCTGCAGGACATTACCTTTTCCAGTTCTGCTTTGTTGACAGGAACTATTGTCATGGATCCATCTGTTTCAGTAGTTACATTGCAAAGTACAACGACATCTTTTATTACCTAAAAATAACATGAGAAAGCAATAAAATATACAGTTGCTTAATAGTTGTAAATTATAGAGGCCAATGTTCTGATATGAAACTAAGTAGTGATTTACTGTAATTGACTTATTTCAGCCAGAAGTGGTAAGGAAAAATATCACCTCAATTCAAGAGAATTTTGGAATATAAAGAACAAAAGGGTACAAGTTCTCAATAGGTTTTCTAATCATTGTTTGTTTTTAAAACAAAGCTTTTGGAAAACCAAGAGCTCTGTTGTTACCACAGTCTTTTGAAATAGCTTATGATTCATTCAACTTTGGATCAAATAAATACAAACACATCCTAAAGCTTTAGTGACTGAGGGGTTGATTATAAATAGCTTTGCTTTTATAATTTTTTTTTTCACTTTGGTATATGGAAGGGGTGTTCTCTCAAATTTGTCAATGCTTTCTTTAAAAATATAATTGAGTAGTTGTTTTTTTTACATTTTGAACCACAATTCAGCTAGATATCTTTGATATACTAATGAAAGTTGTACGTTGATTTGTAGAAAATAATTTGACTTGTCTCTTTTCAAATACATGCTTAATATGTGATGACAGTGCTCAGAAATCACCATAATACTCATATCAAGCAATATTAAACCACTCCAGATCCTTGCAGGTAGAAATGCTTTTTGTATTAGTACTAAATAAAAACACTGGACACAAATCAAACTGATTATTTTTCTGACACTGAACTTTTGAAATATGAATTTAATACCACGACTTAAAATCAGCCAATCATGGTGCACCTTGTAGTAACAGTGATTTCACACTTCACAATCACCTACGTTGCTGACTAATTGATAGGAATGCAAGTGTTGTTCATTCAACAAAAGAAAAGAGAGAGCAAATGAGACAGTAATAGAGTAAACAGAAGCTTTTAAGACCAACCCTGACAGGAAGTATGAAAAATGTTACACATTATAAAAGAGATCACTGAGGTAGTATCATAAACATTCTGATATCATTTTATTTCATTGTTATATGGTCAGGCTGGCTCACTATGCTGTATAAGCTGCTGGTCACAATGAATGTTGCTGCCATTTTAAGTGCAGGAAGCTAAAGGGTCCAATCTGTAGAGGAAAACCACTTATTGGTCCAACTGGAAAGAATCTCTTGTAGTAAACAGGATATAGTTTATTGTACTCAACAGGCAATAAAGTAGTTTTGAAATGTAGTCACTGTTGTAATGTCAGAAACATAGCAGCTAATGTGCTTACAACCAACTCTCTCAAACAATTTTGATTTTTTTTAAAAAGACAAATATTAGCTAGAACACGAGGGATAATTCTCTCACTCCTCTTCAAAATAATTCATTGGAATTTGTCTGTTCCCGTGAGGGTAGATAGGACATCAATTTAGTACCTTATTTGAAATACAGCACCTTTGACAGAGCAGCACTCCCTCAGAACTGCAATAGAGCATCAGTCTTGATTTTTCTACTCAAGTCCTGCAGTGGAACTGGAACCAGAACCCAAAACCTTTTGATTCAGAAGCGTGATTGCAACAAACTAAGCTGATGAACTGTTATAGAGATAGTGAGGTGAGGATATAAACACAAGGAGGAGAATTTTAAATTGGAGTTTTGCAGCAAACTTAGGTCAGCATACACAGGGTGACAGGTAAACAAAACTTCATGTGTGGTTGGATCCAAGGAGTAGGATTTTAGCTGAGCTGCAGTTTACAAAGGGCACAGAATAGGAGGCCATTCAGCCAAAATAGCACTGGAAATAGAAAAAAAACGAGTGGACAGCAATATAGATGTGTTGCTTATTCTGCATGGAGAGATTGCCCAGAAGTGTCCCACACCCAGTATGTGATTTTCAGCAGAAAAACAGGCTTGTTCACGTACATGGGAGTCGCCCTTTGTGAATGTGACTGTTGCAGATGACAACAGGAAGCAAGACAAGATTACTAGCTCATGCCATTGTATCAGACCTGAGAAAAAATAAGCACACAAAAAGGGAAAATATGGACCATGCTGACTTTGGATCATTACCTATTGCATGCTGAGGAAATTAAATAAAGAATAACGTAATTCAATTGCTTTGACATCCTGAATTTAACAGGAAAACACAGCACAAACTGTGAAAACAGTACAGTCCAGAGAAAGAAGAAAAGTGGTCTTTTTGGAACACTCTATCCCAATCCAGTTTGTATTTTAGGTCAAAAAAACTATACTTGATCTCCACACGAGACTTCCCACACAACTTTCTAATTACATTACAGGCAGCCAACATTATTAAAGAAATATACCCTGTAGGTCTGTGATAACACTGTACCTCATCGTTACTGGCCACAATACTGATGTCTTCCAGTGACTGGACCAAACACCAGCAATTATGGACTTTGTGCAATGAGTGAAAAAATTCAGTCTACCCCATCAGATATTTAGTATTGGCTGCTGAACTCATTTTACAGAATAATGTTATACTCTTTGAAGCAAAATACTTGATTCGGATAATTCAGTTCTCAGAACTTCAATACAGAGTCTACATACATTCAATTATAGAAATACCTTGATAACCAACGATCATTATAAACTGTAACAAATGGCAATGGACAATGATGATTCATCAGTTTGCACCCAAATCTTCATTTGTCACTGGTCAGCATTCATGGTCCCAACTTTTCGTAGGACATTCGTCTCTATAGAAGTATAATTTTTGTCTAGAAGTGGAGTGTGTGTTGTGGAAACAGAATTTATTGGGGGATTAGGTTCAAAATAGGCCAACAAACTGGACCGCAACCCCCAAGGAAAGAATTAAAATATAAACATTGAGGGCTTTTCACAGGGTTCTATAAAATTTACAAAGACAGATGAGCTCTGGAAGAACAGTCACAGTAGACTGTCTCATGCAACTTGGATGCATTTCCTGCTGATCCCACAAACTCCAGCAAGATTAGTGTAGGGGGACACCAACAATCACAATCACATGAACCACCAGGATTGTGCGCTGTGGATTTTGGGGCGATTGTCTTTTTGATCCTGCAATTGAAGAAGAGGTATAATTCATGGAAATATAATTGTATAAAGTGAATTAACATATAAGCAGGAGGAATGATCTGCATTCTATTTTGCCTTATTGATTCGTAGAATAGCAGTCCAGGAGGCGGCTATTTGGCCCACTGAACCCACACTGGCTCCAATGAAGAACGATTCAATTATTACCACTTACTCACTCTTGCCCATGTGTTATAATTTCTCCTTTAATTACATAAAAAATTCACATCTAAAAGCTCCTACTGAAACTGTTTTTAATCGCCCTATCAGGCAGCATATCGTTCATCTTAATAATCTGTTGGATCTAAGCTCAATGAAAAGTGGACTGACTAGAATTTGGTCTCGTTTAAGCCCAGTGGCAAAATCCTTGTTGAATGAAATATTGACTTTTTAAATTGGAAATAGACTCATATCCACACAGACACGTAAACAAGCAGGTTTGTTCTCCATTATGCTCGTGGTTAAAAACAAAACCAAAAGGACACCTAGGGTGATACTTGATGGGGCTGTAAAAATGGGAAACTTGGCAAATGGGAGGATTTAATTAGGCATGAACCAACATCTTATTTCTTGACGTCAAATTGAATTTATGAGATAGACTGGGTGACATGACAGCATCATCGTATCACTAAACTGCTTTCCATGAATATTTATTAGTTACGAAACACAAATTAAGTTCTAACTTTAAGGTTGAGTTGGTGATAGACAGGAAATTGGTGTCTCCCTGTTCCTGATTGCTTAGAGCTGTCATGAATTAGGCAGTTCAATCTTTGGACTGGACGTGAGGTTTTGTATTTTCATCTGCCTCAATGGCAGAGCAGAAGGAAGCTGGATGGTCTGCTGGAGGCAGAGGCAAGGGCAAGGAGAGAATGAGAACGTGGTGCTCAGATTGTCGAGCGGCACAGCGTGGGGCTGACAAGACAGTGAAACTTGTGTTTGGGTCCTCAAATGGCAGGCAGTGGCGTGTTTATGGGTGGGGAGGTGACTGTGAAGGAATCGAGGCTCCAGCTTCTGGATGAGGTCCATTGTTGCAGTGCTCTCGATCTGTGTGTCGATTAGAAATAACTGGCCAACAATTCAGGAAGGGACCTTGAGTTTGAAGCAGTGCAGGTCCAGCTGCAGATGGAGTAGGTCAATGGTCTCTGAAGGATGCAAAGGCAATGAAGGATGATGGAGGGAGGCTCCAGAATGACAGTAATAAGGTCTAGTATGAGGATGGGATGGTCAAGAGTGAGAGACAGAAGGTTGAAAGTCAACAGCTCTGAGCTAAGATGACTGGGGGAAGCAGCAGGGTAAAGTTAGGGTAGAGACAAGGAAGATGGGAGGAAGCTAGAGGGTGGCAGAGGGAGGTGGGGGTGAAGGGATTTCAGCAGCACAGTGCGATTCTCCATCTTCATAGCTGTTAAGAAATTGCTAGTTTGCTGGAGATCTTTTCTTTCTATTTTAGTTGTGCGGTCATCACAAACTTATATCTGCGTTCCCCAGACACTTATTCAGCCAGCACTAGGTAATTCAAACAAAAAAAGTGTGTCTCGAGATCTCAAGTAACGGAGCTGTGAATATTTCCTTTGGCAGCCTGTTTTATTCTCAGATTATCCTTGGGAAGAAAGACTGCTGATACACTGTCTTGGGAACAAGTATGTTATACTTCGTGTGGTGGGCAACTTTGTGTTTTATCGTTGCTGGAGGGCAATATGTATTTGTTTCTGTCAATTCCTACAGGCTCTTTCCTGGTGCAGAATCAACTGCTGCCAGGAAACCTCTACCAGGCAGGAGGTCGAGTTAACAGAGGAGTTCACTGTGGGATGGATGGAGCTCAGAGTGTGGCCAATTGGAGTGTCATTGAAATAACTGCACAGGGGCCAATATCCTGTCACCAAGTCATCCTTTATTTACCTGTGCACAGTACTCCGGATATGGGCAGCCAGCTCAGAGTCAGTCCCCTGAACTGAGGAGATTCTGAATCCCTTG